AATAAATTTATTTCATTTTACCTATAAAATACTCACATTAAGTGTTTTCCTGTAGGTAAAAATCTGTTTAACAACCTGTTAAAATACACCAGAATGCAGGAAATGACATTTACTTCTTTAAAAATGTTCAGGGGGAGGACCCCCAGACCCCCCACCACTGGGTCCCCCCAACATTACAAATACTTACTCTTGTTTTTTGTCTCTGAATGTTATAAAATCAGTGATATTATCTGTGAAATTACAAATTGAACATTTGTTGACAATTCTATAGCTTTAAATTGCCATAGTTTTCAATTTGTCAGTTTTACAAACACATCATAAATTTTCTGTTATAGATATTAGTTTTGGTGTGCCCCCCTGGTTTTTCAGTGCCCCCCCCCCCATGGCCCCCACTGAAAAAATTTCTGCAGGCGCCACTGATCCTGGCTTACCTTTAACCCTTTAACGTAGTCTTTAGCCAAAGTATTTGAGACGTTCTTAACAGTTTAAAGCAAATTTCTTGTGATTTTTGTTGCCTGTTTATTCAGTTTCCATTCAGTCTTTCTTCCTGATCATGACAGCATATTTGAAAAAGAGCAGTGAATAAATGGAGGACAAAAAGTGAAAAGTGTCAGGCTTTTACAACAAAAACAAACTCCCCAGCAGATTGTCAACATCTCGTACATTTGTTCCTGATTCAGATAATATGAATGAGCACATGTTTACCTTAAATATGTGAATTAGTTTAAAACAAAGTATTTCGTGTTCACTCCCCTCCTGCTCAGATCTGCTGCTGTTTTCTCGTTTTTCATCCTGAAGCATTCAGACAGAGTTGTGACATGGTTTTGATGAAGCAACCAGCTTAAACACTCTCACTTCTTTATTCTCCATCTTTTACAACCTTTGTTTCAGACGCTGAGGTTTTGCTCTAACAGTTTACAAAAAGCAGAAGCATATACTGCACTTGCACAAATCCATGTTTTGTGGATTTACATCATGAGTTGACTGCTACAAATCACTTTTGTAAAAGCAGAACTGAAACTGCTGCTCTATCATGTGACGTTCAGCATTAGTCTTGGTTAAAAGTCATTTCTGTAAATGATAAAACAACATTTAAAAAATGGATATTAGGCAATAAAACATCTTCAGCAGTTTAGAAGTTTCATTTTGAAACTGAACAGAAAGATTCCTAAATTTAGCACAAAACTTAAGTAACTTAGTGTTKGGTAGATTATTTCTTTGTTGTAACAGTGCGTATTGACAATAMATATGGTACCATTGGAAAGCCTGTTCATTTCCCTTTTAATGGTGCCACATTTGTAAGGAACATGCATTTGTGGGATGAGCAGTAGAGCTGAGTTTGTTGTTGTGTTGAGTTTCTGGTACATCCAGGTGCTGCTGATCGAGCCCTGACATAGTGCTCATGTGTCTGCTCCAACAATTGGTATTCCACGATTAACTGATCTGGATAGGACCCATGCGATTGGATAACTTCAAGCTGGTGGTAAAAAAATGGAGGCAGTATAATGGTGTGACAGCATCTCCATCACTGGAACAAACAGGTTTGTCATCACTGGAGGCTGTCTCAATGCAGAGATAAGGAGATAAAATTTCACAACCAGTGTCAGTCCCACCTCTGCACAGTCTGGGCCTGAGCTCTTCTGGACCAAGGTTTCTGAGGTTGTTCCTGGGATCTGTTTGATCCACTCTTCTGTTGTTGGGCTCACATTGTGCTCTTGTGACTCCAAAGCTTCTCTGTTTCGTCTTCCAGTCCCTGATATTTCTCAAGCTTCTTGTGTTCCTTCTTTCTGATGATTCAGTCACTTGTGATTGACACATCTGTCACCACTGCCTTTGTCTGCAGCTGGTCAACCATTGACTGTTGGGTTAACAATTGTCTGTTTGACAATCTGGATCTGGAAGGCCCACAGGATCTTAGCCCGGTTGTTCTGCACCACCCTTGGTGAGAATAGTTTCACTAATTACTAATGTGGTTTGTGCAACCAACTTCCAGCACTGTAACAACAACAACAACAACAACAACAACAACAACAACAACAACAACAACAACAACAACAACAACACTACTAATACTACTATTAATGCTACTACTAATAACACTACTAATACTACTACTAATAAAACAACTAATAATACTACTAATAATACTACTAATAACACTACTACTACTGCTACTACTAATAATAATAACAATACTAATAATAATACTAATAACACTACTACTAATAATACCAATAATACTACTAATAACAATACTACTAATAATAATACTAATAACACTACTAATAACACTACTACTAATAATACTACTAATAACACTACTACTAATAATACTAATAATACTACTAATAACAATACTAATAATAATACTAATAACACTACTAATAATAATACTAATAATACTACTAATATCAATACTAATAACAATACTAATAATAATAATAATAATAATAATAGTAATAATAATAATGCTTATACTAATAATAATACTAATAATAATACTAATAACAATACTACTAATAATACTAATAACAATACTAATACTACTACTAATACTACTACTAATACTACTACTAATAATACTACTAATAATACTACTAATAGCAATACTAATAATAATACTAATAATAATACTAATAATAAAACTAATAATAATAATACTTAGGTCCCCTAACTCTAAAGCACTAAAATAACCCAGTTGACACATGAAACATTCTTCAGAATCAACATGAGACAATATTTACTGTGTGAAAAATATTGTCACTTAGACTTTGGCGGGCCAAATGGGAGTCACCTGCAGGCCACATTTGGCCCGCAGGCCTTGAGTTTAACACGTGACCTTATAAATAAGTGACACACACATGAACAAAATGTGTGACAGCTTTCACCCTCCGCTGGGAACAATAATGTTGATCAATAACATTTAACGACTTCAGTTAGTGCTTCTAAATTTAGCCCATAAATTTAGCAAGTGCTAATCCACTAATGAATTCAAAAAATAGCAAAAGCCTTAAAGCACTAATCAAGAAATTTGTTCCCCTATTAGTGCTTTAGGGGAACTGTGCCCACCGCTGATCATAAGCTTTCTTTACAGTATTATTTATGCTTTTTTCTTTCCTTTTCTTTTCAAATGAAAAAAAAAAGGACCTTCTAAACCAACTTAAATTAAAGTTCACTCATACCCATCTCCCCCTGGCTCCCCCACCAGACGACCCTGACCCACCGACCCCCCAACAAGAGAAATTCAACACGGAGCTTGACAGAAAAATCCCTATTTCTTGCGCGGGGATGGGGGGTTGAACTGTCAGCCACACAACAGCAGGCTTCAACACAAGGCGTGGGGGGTGGACGTTATTAGAGGTCATCAGTCCCATACAGTGTGTCCAGATTGTCCCTCCTCTACCTCCTAGTAGGTTGTAAGGTTCTTATCAACCTTTTGTCTGATATTAAACATCCAGTCACAGTGGGTTTGGCTCCTCCCCCAGCTCGTTGTCCTTTGACCCGGGGGGGCAGAGGCRCACAATCTGCAGGATGGAGATCCAGGCTGTAGCTGATGGTCGTCCCAGACATTGCTAACAGTTGCTTTAAAAACAGAGTTTTCCAGGTCCGCTSAGACACGTTTCAACCTTTGATCAACTGATCTCTGTGGTGCGATTAACATTTCCTGAAACTTCTGTTTAATCTTAGAAAACTAAAACCCAACTATTAAACCAGCCGTGAGATTTGGCTCATATTCCTGTCAGCTGTGGCTCTAAGATAGAATTTCCCTAAAGTTTCATCAACGTCCAACATAGATTTCATTTTGTTTTTCCTATTTTACAGACGATGGAGCCGTGCCCATCACACGTTCACAGTCTATTACTTCAGTGTGGGTTTTCTGCCATAGCTTCCCTTTTGAATCAACATTTTTTCCTCATGTTTGGCACCAGCGCTGTTGCAGATAATTTGATATAATGAGTTAATGTTGGTTTGACCCATAATGGATGCAGCTTTAGAGAAAAAAAAACACGGTTTTGTTAGGTTCTTTATTGTTGTTTCTTTTCGGCTGTATACTTTGTAAAAATGTGTTCAAATAAAGTTATTGGATCAATAATAATAAAGCCACTAATAATATTGTGTTGGATGTTTTTAGTTACACGCTGAATGATACCATGGTTCCTGAGGGGGCGGGGCTAGCTGCTGAAGCCAGGTCACGTCACCTTTTCAAATGGTTTGATACTGAGGCTGCTGCGGTGAGATCAGGACCCCTCTCTCTTTGACAAATGTAACTTTATATGAGCTAATCTTCTTTTGAGAGTTTCTTATTTTCATTAGTGTGTGTCAACAGGTGGTGACCATCCTGTTGGGGATGTTCCACATCCTTTTRTCTGCCTCATTCGCTTACACTGACCAGAGTCTGCCCAAGCTCTTCATCCTCCCACTGGTCTTAGGAATTGTAGTAAGTACCCCAAGTTTTAGCACTGTCAACATCATTCAATAAAAACATTTAATATTAAAGTGTATCTTACTCCCCTGTGAAAAGATAACTCAGCCCCAAGGCGAAATTTGAAAAATGCATCAAAGTGGG